CAACGATAAATAGATCATTTATTTTTAAACGTAAGGCTAAAATAACCGAATAGAAAATTATTTTATAAGAGATAATGAGATAGGAAGAACTTTGAGACCAAAGAATTTGTAAGAAAGAAGATTCTTATTGTTTAGAAAATGTATTTTGATTGATAACATGCTAATTGAAGCCAATAAACATAAAAACAACTGAGGAAAAAGATGCGATAGAGGTTCTCCTTCTCTAACTTGTTTTCTATGTTAGGAACTCGTTGTTTTTATTCTATTCAACTTCCTCTTTTCGAAATAGGTTGAAATCAATGACGGTCCCAAGACAATTTTTTCCCCCGTGTCCTGTCGTTATATGTAAATACACCATTTTCAGTAACTGAATGACTCAGGTAATTGGTACTACGTAATTATACTGGCTGAGCAGAAATTTGATTTTTTTTCGCCCAATTAAATGGAAGATAATATAAAATAAAAAAAGTTTGTATGTTTTCTCGAACGTATAAAGTCACGTGTTAACAGACTTGTGAAAGTTTAGAGTTACTTTCAGAAAAATGAGAATGTTTTCGTGCAGAAGGTTCAGCCAATTAGATTTTTTCGTTATCTATTTCTTTGTCAAATCAGGCTCTTTTACATTGATAATTCAACCATTCGAACGTATTTGGTATCCAGTTTTCACTCCATCAGGCTTGAATGGGAGTATGGATTGGATGTGGTTGTCGATATGGCGAAAGTGACTGTCGTTAGTAGTTCTTTCCCTAAGAACTCGGTTTAGTGGTCAGTTCTTCTTGCTTGACAGCTGGAAAAGTACTGGATGGAGTTGCTATATGATCATTATCACTACATCGAGTCTATATAAAAAGAAATGGTTACTCAACGTGATTCCTAAAAAGGGAGCCGGTCACCGGGCTCAATTCTCAAGAAAAGAACTGGCTACTAGACTTAGGTTCTTAAAAAAGCTGGTTATTGGAGCCAGTTCTTAAAAAAACCGAGTTCAGAAAATTCTGATCTGTCACAAGTCTACACTTGACTATGACATCCACACCAACACACATCGAAATTAATCCATACATCTTCAATGTACCTCTCCGAACTAATAACCGCACCCACTCTATACTCATATCCAAGTCTAATTGAGTGAGAACTGAATACCCAATACATTTGATCGGCCAAATTCCTTGCATAAAAAAACGCTCATTTTTATAAAAGTTACTCTAAACTCTCAGAAATTTGTTAACACATAAATTTACACGTTCGAGCTAACATGAAAATTCTTTTTATTTCATGTAATCCTTCTTTTAAACGGAAGAAAAATCAAATTCTGCTTAGCCAGCATAATTGTATAGTACCAATTACCTAAGTCATTCAGTTACTAAAAATGGTCTATTCCTCTATCACAACAGAACGCGGGGAGAAAAAATTGTCTTGGGACCGTCATTGATTTCAACCTATTTCGAAGAGAGGAAGTTGAATAGAATAAGAACAACGAGTTTCTAACATAGAAAACAAGTTAGAGAAGGAGAACCTCTATCGCATCTTTTTCATCAGTTTTTATGTTTATTGGCTTCAGTTAGCATGTCATCAATCAAAAAATATTTTCTAAACAATAAAAATCTATCTTCTTAAAAATTCTTTGGTCTTAGACTTCTTTTCACCTCATCACTTCATGTAAAAGTATCTTTTTATTCCTTCATTTTAATGTTTAATTTTAATTATAAATGACTTATTTAGCCCTATCTTTTATTCTAAAGAAGCATTAAAGACGAAATTTCATTCCGACATTGCAATGAATTAGAATATTGATTTGTTTTTCAATATAATCAGAAAAAAAAACCAATTAACGCTTGTATATGAGAATTTGGATTTATGTAAGAAAAAAATCTGTTGTTGAAAAATTCTAATGAAACTCATTCGACATAAGAAAAACAAAAATACGCATTTTCTTTTAATGAATAACATTCAGTAGTCCTAGGCTTCATGGATAGGTTTTTTAAGTTTACTTAAAAACTGAAGCTTTCTCCATGCTAAAAGTTTTAGATAGATTTGCGTTATAACCATGCATCGTAAACATAAGAAAATATAAGCACGTGATGTAATTTCGTTTTTTCTTTGTGTTTTATCAAGTGAAGCAATATGAAGAAATGGTGAACAATTGTTTGTTAATCTCTCTTTACGGTTGGCTATACTCTACGACATGTGATTCGCATAGGTTTTTTTTGTATTGATGTTATTTTGCCTCATTTTTTATATGAATAAATGAAGGTACGAAAAGGTAGATATCTACTTATAAAATAAGTAATCAATGGTTTTATTAACATAAGTGAGTCTAATGGATGTGGACAGAAATATCGTTATTTTAGATAGTAGATGCATGTGATCAACAAACTCGACAAGTTTCTTTCCATTTGTGCATGCTTTATTATTCAAAACAATTGAAATGAGTCTGTAAAATACAATCTGGAATAGTTGTTGAAAATTATAAGAGAAAAAAATTTTCATTCTCTTTAAATAAAATATTTTCATAATAGAGTAGGACTACGAATAGAAAATACTGCTAATAAGCCATTTTTACTATGCATCTTTTTACTCTTCAGATCTGTTCGATTTTATGTGAAAAAAAGGACACAAACAAACATTCACACAATAAAGTAACAAATTTATTATAATTATTATCTATTGTAGTTTTAATAAATGTATTTAATTGTTTCAGCTCCATGTAAGATGGCTGCTACTGAAGATACTTGTTTAGATTTGACTACTCTCATTAATACTGACTCTTCATCAGCTATTCAACAGAACGACTCGCTAAACACAGCTTCATTACCTTCAACAACAGCAATTATTATGGATTCAGACACTGCTGATGACAAAGAAATAAATCCTAAAACTTTCAACAGATACAAAAGTGTTGGAAATATATCATTATCGGTGCTCAGTCGTCGATTAACGAAACGTAAAAAGCTACATCAACGACTGTATGATATATGTATTTTTGTTATGTTATTATTTTCTTGTATATTCTAGTTCTGTCGTGGCTGATATCATGTTTATTCTTAGTGTTTTGGGAATTATTCTTATGATTATCGAAAATGAATTAACATTTTCTCAAATTAATAATCACGAAACCATAGCAAGTTGGTCTATCAAAATAGTTATTAGTTTATCGACGGTTATTCTTCTTGGATTTGTCATCGAATATCATCGTTTAGATATTTCTCTCTATGCTGTTAATAATTCAATTGAAGATGTTCGTGTTGCAATAACATACGAGAGAATAATCACCGTTGTACTTGAAATATTAATTTGTGCTGTTCATCCAATGCCTCGCTCTTTTCCTCGTCATTCAAATGCATCATCAGAAGATATAAGCTCAAATGATTCTACAGTTACTCCTCATCCTTTGTCTTATGCATCTGTTGATGTAGGCCTTGGTTTACCAAGTAAGTATCATTATTTTATTTTCCTTCATCAAATTTAAAACTTACTATCTTCATAGTGTTTCTTCGTCTCTATTTACTTTGGCGTGTGGTTATGTTTCATTCTCATCTATTTCGTGATGCATCATCACGATCTGTAGGTTATCTTAATAGAGTATCCATTGATTACTTCTTTCTCACCAAAACTTATCTTGAACAATGGCCAGTAGTTTATTTAACGACATTTTGTATAATTGTCTTCCTTATTGGAAGTTGGTCATTACGTGCATGTTCTTACTCATCAACCAATGAACATTTAACAATGCAAAATACAATGTGGTTATTTGTTATAACATTTACTACTGTTGGCTATGGAGATTTTACACCTTCTACATACTGTGGACGAAGTAAATAAAATAATAAATCATAAAAAAAAACTTTTTTCATTTGTCATATATGAATAAAACTTTGATTTTTTTTTTCGTTATTAGCTATTGCTGCTATAATTGCTTTGGTTGGTGTTCTTTCAACTGCTCTTC